GGTGATTGTAAGAAGGGATACAAGCAGAGATGGACTGTAAGACACAGAATCCATAATGTTCTTGAGGTCTAATTCACTTTGCTACTGAATCAGGTAGAAAGAGAGGTAGGAGAAGGAAGAAAAAAATTATTCCTAAGTTTGTGGCCTAATCTATAAAAAATCTTAACATTTTTCAAACACCACGCCACTTAACTCTGACTTTACTAATGACAAAAGATGGGTTGATATACAAGTAGCACCAGTACCTAGCAAACGCTGGTAGAATCTAGTGCCCTGTATGGCAACTGTGTTATATTCAGTGTGTTTTATATTATCAGCTCTCTACAACTTGGATGATCCTAAAACTTTACAGCTCTTTGGATTTTTTTACTAATTAATTTTAAAAACTAACTATGAACAAAAACAAAGCATCTTTATATGAATGAACAAGGAAGAAACTACATTTCTGAATCAGATCACATCAGTTTTGTCCCCGTATGTTAATTACCATAAAGGATTCAAAACCGCGCGGCATGTCGTCCTACTGCACAGGACAGGCTCGTACTGAATGGGAGGTAAATCGGGTCTCTCTTTCAGGGGTGTAAATAGGGCTGCCACCGGAACAACCATTCTGGTGGCCTCCAGTCGACTTGACGGCCAAACATTCCAACTAAACCGGACTCCGTCTCGTTCTTCATTTTGTTGGATGAATTCCAAATAGGTTGTCATTGTACAGCTTGATTCTTACTTCTGTAACAAAATCAGAAGACATTTTAAAATCCAATATCCTCTTAAGATTCAAAGTAAGTTTTCCCAAAGTCAACAACGCTAACACATTATAACTCATGACCAAATCAAAATATTTACCTCAGAAAGCAATTAGCAAGCAACAATAGGGGCTGGGGATTTAGCTCAGTGGCACAGCGCCTGCCTGGCAAGCGCAAGGTCGTGAGTTCGATTCCCAGTACCGGAAGAAAAACAAAAACAAACAAACAAAAAAAAAGCAACAACAACTCTCCTTATAATGAATAAGTAGTAGCTCAGATTTCAAGTGCTCATTGGGCCAAATGAGAGGTATTTTACCCTTTTTATTTAGCTGTTTAAAGTACGGCAAAAAATAGTACATGTCTTTATGTATTTATTTAAAGGTATATAAGGAAAAAAGGAACAAGTGGACAGGAGTGGTAAATCTAAATCTTTTTTCCTGGTTTTTTTTTTTTTTTTTTTTTGAGACAGGGTCTTGCTATTTAGTTCAGGCTGGCCTGGAACATACTAAGTAGCCTAGGATGGCCTCAACTTCACAGAGACCTTCCTGCCTCAGCCTCCCCAGTGCTGGAATTACAGGAATGACCACCATACCTGATATAAACCTGGATTTTATGCTTTCAATATCAGCTTTGTAAGTTGCCTTATTCTCAAAACAAATATCAAGGTCATAAAACTCTAAAACATCCATGGTTCCCATCCAGAAATGGTAAGTTCCACAAACTTTCTATAAGAGAATATTTAATAGCACACAAAAAAAAAATTTTCCTAGAACTTGGTATATATGTATTGGACAAATAATTTTTTACTGCAAATGTAGGATATTTGAAACATAATAAACAACAGGCTTATTATATGGAATTCCCTGTGATTTACTTATCACATAACCCCTTCTGCAGAAACAATACAGAAAAATGTTTACATTCTAACTTATGAGAGCATCTTAAACTCTGATTGGAGATGTATTATTCCAACATAATACTGTAAATTTACCACCAGAGAAGAAGGGTCTAACGTCGAGGACAGCTCCCTACCTACAATGTCAGCCTTCCCACCGAGGCGCCCAACGGCAACAGCAGAGGTCACAGAAGGAGGCTGAAGAGCCCAAAAGTGTAGGAGGATGAAGAGTGCAAGTGCTATGTGGCAGCAATAAGGGGCGTCAAGCTAAAAGAACTCAAGGTGTCAGAACGGCCAAATGGATGTTAGAGTTGCCAAGAAAAACGGTGAGACAAGAAACTAAGGAGCCAGACATGTGATGCACGTCTATAATCCCAGCACTCAGGAGGCTGAAGCAGGAAGAGCACCATGAGGTCAAAGCCAGCCTGGGCTATATACTGAGTTCAAGGCCAGCCTACACTACAAGCAGGACCCTGTCTCTAAAGAAAGAAACAGAGAGAGAGAGAGAGAGAGAGAGAGAGAGAGAGAGACAGAGAGAGAGAGAGAGAGAGAAGAAATTCCAAAAAACATAAGTAAAACCATTTTAATTTTAGAAAAACTTTCAAATAGACTTTGATAATGCAAATTATAGTAAAAGAAGCTTAATAATCTAAGCATTTTAAGTAGCTAAGAACTTTCCATTATTTTCTTTTCTTTAAAAGCAATAAGAAAAATATGAAAGAAAAACTGCTTTATTTCTATCATGCCAGAATCCTGGAGATAACTACAGAATATTTTAAATAACGGATAGGGGAAAATCCTAAGATAAGACTAAACTATAGCATAACTATGGGAATATGAGTTTTTAAGAAAAAATGACTGCTGAATGATAACGATAAAACAAAGGTCTGGTCCTAGGACACTGAGACAGGAGAATCCCAAGTTGGAGGCCAACCTGGGCAACTTAGCGAGACCCCGTCTCCAAAAAAAATAAAAGGGCCTAGTGATGTAGCTCAGCATGAAGTTCCTGGGTTCCATTCCCAGTCTCACTGGAAATAAAAAAAAAAAGCAACAACCAGAAAAATAACAACCTCCTTCAGAGAGGAAAAAAAATGTTTTACCAAACAGCTTCCATGTTACAAATATGACTAATTCTAGGACTAGGTAATCCCTCCCATTATTTCTCCTGAACAAAAAAGCAAATTAAATTTTTTGCACTTATAATTGCAGCTATAATCTAAAACATATCTCCAAAAAGCACTAAAATACCCAGCAAAACACACTAGACCAATCATGGCTGTTGAGAAAACACAAAATGCAAAAAATGTTTTGAGTCACTACTTTCTCAATTCTCCCAAAGACAGTATATAAGTACTTCATATATTTTCTCAAAAGTGGACAAAATGAGTCTGTCACATTGCTTCAAGGAAAACAACTAGCAACGTTTGTTGCCAGTAATAAAATTTGAGCTTGCAAGAAAATATTAAAGTATTTACAATCTTGTATCCATACCATGACCTTGATGCCTTCCTAATATGTACAGATTCTTCTGATTAGAGTAGTGACCGAATTAATGTGCTTTTTTGACACTGTATATTGAAACTTGAGCATTTGGAAGACACACACTACTCAATGAACTGGTATCTCCCAAATGTTCAATTTATGATCCTATAATGCCATATATGGTACATGAACCATTCGAAGTGCAGAATAATCAATGGGTTTTAATATGAGCTCAAAAAATTAACTTATAGCCCAGTGTAGTGGCATATGCCTGTAATCCTAGTACTCAGGAGGCTGAGATAGGAGAATAGCTATGAATTTGAGGCCAGTCTGGGCTACAAAGTGAGTTCAAGGCCAGGCTGAACTGCATAGTGAAACTCTGTCTCAAAATGACATACAACAACAACAACAACAAAATTCTTTTAAGGTTACAGATTCCACGCCGGAATTAACCCTTAATGTTTTAATTAAAACTACTGGGCTGGGTGTGGTGGCACACACCTGTAATCCCAGCACTCAGGAGGCTGAGGCAGGAGGACTGCTGTGAGTTTGAGGCCAACATGGACTACAACGTGAGCTCAAGGCCAACCTGAACTGCATAGCGAAACCCTGTCTCAAAAAGACAAAAATAAATCAAAAGTAAACAAATAAAACTACCAGGACTTGGTGTGATATCAAACAAGAATATGCGTTATTATCTGCAAAAGCTATTTTAAAATCTTTTTCCAACTACATATCTGTATAAAACCAAGTTTCCTTCATACAGCGTATTTCAATAGTCTGCAGAAGTAGTCATGAAAACCAACCTTCTATTAAAACGCTTTTTTTCTGTGGATCCTCAAATACGTAACACTGAAGAGTATAAAGGGATCCTATGAACCAGCCTTAAGACGGCTAGGGAACCTCACTGAGAAAGGCTCTAGGATTCCGGGCAGGAAGATGCTGAGGTACAGTGAACAGTCTCATTTAGGCTTCTACAAGAAACAGCAGACTGGATTACAATTCTGTATTCCTACTCTTTATTAAGACAGTATCACTGAGTGATATTAGAGCACACTTCTCCTCTTCGTATTTTTCTTCAGTCATTCTGCTCTAATGTCCTATTTGCTCAGTAAATCACATCCATTACGTTTCTTATAGTCTCAGTTCCCAACAAAAGCTTGATCAAAGTCCTGGGTTGTTTTTTTTTTTCTTAACTGGTCCAATTGCATAGCCATCCACATCTTGACTTCCCTCACCTTTCCAAAGTAGGAATTGCACAATCAAAACCACTAATTCAAGTCCGAAAGTCCTTCTACAGACTAGTTTTACATAAAATGTCATTATCTGACAAGCATTCTATCCCCGAAAACTAACATGGTTACATAAAAACATAAATCCAAGTAAGTGTTATTCATACTACATTAGAACACACACTTAAGCTGATCTTTAAAAAAAAAAAAGTGATACAAAACAGAAAAAGCCACTCTAAGGAAATGCTCCATTTTCAGTACAACTTACAATCTTTTAAAACTGTACTGAAATTGTAATAAAATAATTTTTCATGGCAGGACTAAAAGCAAAGAAATAAAGCAATACGTCCCTTTAACCTACGGAATAACATATTTGCCCAGAATGTTTTAAAAGGAATTCCCTAAAACATTTTTTCACTATTGCAGTTTCAGCCCTTTTATACAAACCTAGCTGAAAAACATACAAAATTGCAAAGTTTTAATTCTTTTCAATGAGATGTATTTGTTGCCAGCCAGTCAAACGTGCCTCTCCTACTTCTCGGCTGTAAAACCCTCAATGAGGTGGCCTAAGCTCTGCGATTTAAGTTGCGGGATTTGGGCTACGAAACCCCAGGGTCCCACCCGCCGCTGACACTCCTACCCGTCAACGCGGACGTTTAGTGAGATGACGGCAACCACGCCAGCGGAGAGGGAAGAAAGCTGCGCCGTGCGCTCGCACCCAAACCGCAACGCCCCGCGGCGAGCCGGCTCTCCACCCCGGCCGGCGCGGGCAGAGGTGAGGCGGCCGCGCGCGGCG